AAGAATTTTAATGCTATAAGGAATTATCATAACAGGTGAAGAAGGACACAAAATCATTCACATAATATGATCTCAATTATAGACACTCCAAATAAATACCCATATTGCCATAAGATTGGAAGTAAACACTCCAAATATTGCTTGTGGGTTTTTCCTGCATAGTGAGATTCTTTATTCACATCAGCATTTTTCAGATTGTATATATATAATTAGTATGTATTAATTCTACAAATAAAATATAAAACAGTTAAGAGTCTATTACGATACCACAACTAAAAAAAAAAAAAAGGATGAGGTCCTAGACTAGGCCAGCAGCAGGGAGCAGAGAAGATAATCCCAAGTCTGAGTCCTCAGTATTTGATGATCCTAGTGGGTTACCAAGGGGACAGAGAGGGCATTCAAGGACAGCTCCAAGCTTTCTAGCTTGAAAAACAGCATGGACAAATGATGGTGTTACAAACCACAATAGGAAATGCAGAAAGAAGGAAGAAGAATGGATTGGGAGGAAAGAAAACAATCCATTTTGGCCTGACTGAGTTTGCAGTGCCAAAAGTTTCCCCAGATAGAGATGCCCAGTCGAGCTGGCTCTGTGCAGGGCTAACACCTGGGAGAGAGGTTTCAGTAAAGGTATGGGTGCGGGCGACAGCAGTGAGTCCTTGAAGCCATGACTCAGCTGAGGATGTTCCAGTATTCTATGTGTTCTGTGAAGAGGACAGTCAGACTGTCATGGAGGCTCATAAACTCGGGCTCTACTCTTCACACCCAAAATGTGGCCTGAAGTGGCCCCTGCCTCCCTCATCCATGGGACTGCTGCTAAATTATAGTGAAGAGCCTCGCAGAGACTCTCTGTACTTAAATGCTGTTTGGCGCTTGTGGCCACTGCTACCATTAAGGATTTCGGACCACTCTGAGTCAACCACATAAAGCTCGCTACTATGTAGGGATTATATTCAAGACAATGGCCACTTTCTTACCCAGTGACCTCTTTTTACAATAACCCATAAAAAAACTATCTCAGGCTTCAAGACAAAGAAAGTATGAGCAAGTAAACTCCATGAATCCTCTGACTGCTCTTGTTTCCTTTTTCGATTTGGCCAATAGGAAGCTCAGAACAAAATCTATAGCCCATCTCCAGCAGCCTTATGGGATCACATAGTGTACATGTTAGGGTGGGTACTAATCTATTCACATTTCTGTCTTTGTTGTTTTACTGCCTTTATTTTCTCTTTGTCCCTATTTCCTCTACCACATATTTTTGTGACCCACTTAAAGTCAAGAATTTTTTCCATGTCATACCCATCCATCGATTCTGTTTCTACCTGCTGGAGTCACACAAAAGAATTCTTGGCCTTCTTCCCTATGGCAGCCCTTCAACATCCAGGTCCTCCGTGAAATCTTATTTTTTCAAGCACCAGAGCCTCAGTTTCTTCAACAATTTCTCCTACATATGAGCTCCTAAAGAATCTTTCATTCTTCTAGACTCGACTGATAGTATCTAGACTCATCTTCTCTTGGCATCTTCTCTAAAGCCCCTGCTCAGGGGATCCCTCCACTGTAGCATTCACAGAAGCTATAATGCAGTGGCTAGTTCTCATGCTTACCTCTCCTGCTGCCCTGGGAACTCCTAAAAAAGAGAGGGCGTGCCCTATTTGCCTCCAACTATACCTAACCGAGGCCCAAGGCAGAGCACAATATAATAATATATGCTTAACAAGTCTTTGTTGAGGAAATGAATGAATGCCTGAATTTACATACACAACTTCCTCTCTCATATGCATGCTAAAAGTAAGCCATGCCTCCAGGAAGAAAAAGTAGAACACAGTTTGGTTCAGTTGTTCACGGGCCTTTCCATCTGACAACTCTTTTTCTGTAAGACTCTCCTGAACAGCCTTGAAGCCCCAGGCACAGGGACCAAAACTTATTCTCCCAGCTAAATCTAGAGTACATACACATAAGACAAAATTGGTCCTGTGAGGGCATCTGGGATACATTTTCACAGAAAGGATCTCACAGATCAAAAATGCAAGATGCTGGCTCCTATGAGACTCTAATGCCTGGTAATCTGAGGTGGAGCTGAGGTGGCGGTGCTAGCGCTGGGGAACAGCTGTACTTATGTTAACAACACAGCTCTCCAGGTGCTCATGATGTGCCAGGTATTGTTCTGATCTCTTCGCAGATATCGTCTTATTTAATCCTTGTAACGACTTCATAGGAGAGGTATTATTTCTATCCTCATTTTATTTTCATATAGTCATCTTAGCATTCCAGTCAGCTATCCTGAAGTGAAGGAATATGTAGCTATTCCGCCACCGAATAAAAGAAAATTAGTTACATTTAGCTCCAATGTATAAATGGCTGACAAACACGTTAGCCTTTGATCTGAGACCTGGATCCCACAGATACCACATCGTGCGTGAAGCATTTATTAAACACCTACTAGCCCTGCCCTCCGTAAGTTCACAGACTGGTGGAGGAAACACTACATGCCTGAAAAAAATAAGTTACCAAAGCACAAGACAAGGACATTCGGATCAGGGACCCAATACAGAACTGGCAGCAAAAGGAAGTAACTATCTCTGGATAGACGAGAAGGCTTCCTGGAGGGGCTGATGTCTGAGTTCCCTTTTAATGGATGGACCGGAGTTCACTAGGGAGCAGCAGAGATGGAGAACGAAGAGTGCAAAGATGCAGGGGCTGTGAAAAGGCGTCTGGGGGAACTGCTGGCAGTCTGGGGTAGCGGGAGGACGTAGAGAGGTAAGGAGTTGGAGGATCAGGGTGGTAGCCTTGGCTGCAATACCAAGAAGCTTAAAGTCGCTAACAGGTCTAGTAGTCACTTCTGTTCTAGAAAGATTCTTTGAACAACAGCATGTGGGAGGATGACGAGACCGAACAGAGGTGTGGCAACAAACCAAGCACTTGGACTAGGGCACTGGAGTCGAGGAATATTTGAGAACCTGCAGCTGTAGACTGATTAGAAGGCAGGTACAGAAATGCAAGATGACACCTCGGCTTCTGACTTAGACTACAGGAGAGCAGTGTACACCATGAAATGGGGGACACGGACCAGGAGCCAAAGACAAGCTCAGAAGGCCCTAAGCTTGGAAGGGCCAAACTGGGCAGCGGAAATCTTTTTCATTATCTCAGAGAAGTTATTCAGATTCTTGCTCACCTCTCCTTTTAATAAAATATGACACATTTCATTCTGTCATCATGGTGAAAAATCATTGCCCTTTGCTGAAAATTAATAACCTTTCAAATTAATAACCTTTGGGTAGGAAAATTGGCTTTATTAATACCTCCCCTTGTACTTTGTAGGTTCATCATCTCTCAGTTCTGCTGTCCCCTGAAACCAAGAGCCCAAGACTTATTATTTGAGAATCCTGAATGACTTTATGCTCAGAAAGAGTGATTGAGGTCCTCAGTAACTGGGATGCATTTAAATGTTTGGGACAAATCTTTAGGTTGTCCCAAAAATGCTTGAGTGGCCTTGTGTATACCCCTCAGCCACAGGGAAGCCCACCTTCTGCTGGAAGGGAGGGTGATTGGCCTGATTCCTAATCTTGGCAGAAAAGATATCACCTATCTGGGAGTGCCACAACCCTGGGAACATGGCACCTCCTCAGGCTTCACCCAGCGCCTGAGCAGAGGTATGTGTCTTTGGCCAACACCATGGCCTGAATAGCTGTTGGGTTGCCTTGCAGAGCTGGGTAACAGCCCACCCCCACCCCAAAGTGGCTCAAGGTCAGGATGAGTCCCCCCAAAAGAGAGGCTAACAAAAGAAGGTGAAATATTAAAAGCAATCTTTCTCTCCCTACCTCATCTTCACATAGTTTTTAAAAAATTCCAAATGGATATTCATTTATCCTCTTCTGCTAAAAAAAAAAACTCTTTGGCAGCAGCCTGTCATCTAGAACAGCAGTCCCCAACCATTTTGGCACCAGGGACCGGTGCTGCTATGAGAATCTAATCCCTGATGATCAGAGGTGGAGCTGAGGTGGTGATGTTAGTGCTGGGGAGTGGCTGCAAATACAGATGAAGCTTCGCTGGTTCGCTTGCCGCTCACCTCCTGCTGTGCAGCCCAGTTCCTCACAGGCCACCAGTACCAGTCCACGGCCCAGGGATTGGAGACCCCTGATCTAGAGTATAAGGTCCAGATTCCTCAACATCCCAGGGCCCTCCCCTCTCTGGTTGCCCAGCTTTGCTCAGACTCCTGCCTCCTTATGCCCACAAGGTCCCATGCCCATACTCAGTTGTTATCTCAGTTTGGAAAGCCCTGCTCTCTCCTACCACTCACCCACTACCCATACACACACAAGAGCCCTCATTCATTCTTCAAAGCCAGCATGAGCATCACTATCCCAGAAAAGTCCTCTCTGAAAGCCACCTCTTTATCAAGCAGAATCCACAACTCCTTTGGCGATCCTCTTCACCCCAACCCAATCTGGTCTATGTCAGGCTACGTGATATAATCTGTCTGCAAGTGAGAACAGATTGAGTTACATGAGAGAACGCATCTAACTAAGATGCGTTATTCACCGTTTCCCTAGCATAGGAATGTAGGGGATTGGAGTCGCAGAGACACTGGTTCAAATCCTGACTCTACCACTTACTTATTAGCAGTGTGATTTTGGATGAAATTCTTATCTTCTTTGAACTTCCATCCCAATTGCCTCCCCCATATCTCTGCTGTCCTAGAGTCACTCCACTTCTTGATTGGCTGGTCCTATAGTCACCAAGATAGCAAGATAGCAGGACAGAGGATCTGGCCCTCTCCGCCTCTGTGTTGGGTCCTCCTAGATCACTCTCCATTCTCCAGGAAAGACATGGCCATTTCCTGGAAATGTTCTTTTGGATTTCCCTAAGCTGCGGCTCATGACTATATCTATCACCTCACAGGAACCCCATTGGCTGGTGCTCTTCGAAATCTTTGGGTTGTCCCTGGGCTGACAGAAGCGGAACAGATGCCAGGCTAACCATCGTCTCCCAATCTTATATTCCAGAGCCATTTGGAAGTTCTCAAGCTGTTGAAACAAAGAAGACATTTCAGGACACAAAGACCAGATT